TCCTGAACTTCGAGCCCACATTGTTGACAAGTTCCTATTGTTGCCTTTCCACTCGGGATGGGACCCTGACCATGGAGGCCTCTTCTACTTCCAGGATGTCGATGGCCTCTGCCCTACCCAGGTAGGAGTGTGCCCAGGGCCACATGATACTAACCTGTTCAAAGCTTTCTGTCCTGGGAGGTTCATAGCTTGCTGTCATCACCCATTTCATAGAGGAGGACCACAGGGGCTCAGAGTGGTGAACTTGCTCAGCGTGACCCCAGTGCTAAGCACTTGACTTCTTTGTCTGTGGTCCTCACCCTTATTTGCAAAGGGAGCCATTAGGGAGCACAAACAATGCCAATGCAGAGACACTTGTCCCCTTCATCTTTGAAAGGCTTTCGGGGTGATTTTAAGGTGTCAGCAGCAGGAGCAGATTTGCTCTCTCATGTCTTTTTCCTCTGATTATGCCTTGATCCGCTTAGATCTGCAGAGAGTGGCTGACCCTGCCACTGGCAGGAACTGAGTGTCCAAGGGGCTTTAGACAGACTGACAAGACAGATATTATTTCAATTCCAGGGCTAAAGGGAAGCCTGCCCTTTGTGGTGTACTGTGTCAAGAAGCTAGTCCTGTTCTGAGGGGCCATTCAGACCCCCAGAGATATCCATCCTGTGATTAAGCTCCAAGTGCTTGGGCCAGATAGAGTCTGAGCCAGAACCTAAAAGATGAAGGTGACTCTCCTGCTGAGAGGGGTGGTGGAGGCTGGGGCCCAGGGCTCTCAGATGCCTACCTCTGCTCTGCTCTCAGCTGGAGTGGGCCATGAAACTCTGGTGGCCGCACAGTGAAGCCATGATTGCCTTACTCATGGGCTACAGTGACAGTGGGGACCCTGCCTTACTGCACCTCTTCTACCAGGTGGCTGAGTACACCTTCCGCCAGGTAAGTGCTGCTTTCTGGTTCTCAGCCCTCTATGGGCTCAGCAAGGGTATCAGAGAGACAGTAGACAGTCATTCCCCCCACCGAACAGGCCAGAGCCAGGCTTTTCTGGGCAGTGGGAGGAGGCTGGGCAGGGATGGGGAGGCTCATCTCGCACCCCCTACTCCTCACTTCACTGGGTATGGTCCCTTAGCTGATCTGAGAATTCCTGGAGGTCCCCCAATGCCCTCTGTAAAGGTCGACAAAGCAGTCCCTGCTCTCCTGGAGCTCATGTTTGGGGGGGCAGACTATAAACAAGTGAACAGGCAAGCATAGATGGCGATGAGAGCTATGGAAAATAAAGGTCAGGTGGCTGTGGGAGGGAATAATGATGGCAGGGGTGCTCTGTACAGAGTTGTTACCTTGTCTGATTTAGGCATTACTGGGCCCTGGGGCTTCAGGAGGGAAGGCTGTAAGGCACAGGGCAAAGGCGGGGAGACAGGAGGCTGTAGCTGTCATCCTGGTCAGTGAGGATGGGGGCCTGGCCTGGGGTGGGAGGCTCAGTGGGCAGATGGATCAGAGTCTGGTTAAGTGGGAGAAGTCTGGGCCATGATTGTTTGGGTGTCATAAGAATATAGATGATACTGGAAGCCAGGAGACAAAGTAAGCTTTTGAAAGCACAGACCGAGAAGAGGGAATAGGAAGGCCCAACAAAGGAGACAAGAATCAGCTTCAAGGTAGGAAGGAAGCCAGGGGACCCCAGAGGCCAAAGTGCCATGAGCAGAGTGATGAACTACACCAGCCACTGCTGAGGGGTACCTCGGGTGCTGAGCCTTGTAGTGAATGGATGAAGATTCCTGATGTGTTTCTAAAGCCACAACTAATTCCATTGGTGAACTCCAGTTTTATGGAGTTTTTTTAATAGGAGGGACTATAGCAGGGGGTCTTATTCTGGAGTCCATGGGCTTCGAAACCTGAGAGAAAATGACATCTTTATTTGTACTAAGCTCTAACTGAAATCCAGAATTCACTTCCATTATGAATGGAGGCAGTCACCACAGTAGTATTAGCAGCACCTGTGTCACCAACAGAAATTCCAAATATGTTCATGTTACATTGTACTTAGAGAGGCATCTCCAAGTATCGCACAAGCTCATCGCTACTTCCAAACCCAGAAGTCATAAGATCCGAGGCTATATCTTTTTTGTGTATATATATTTTATTGATTTTTTTAGAGAGAGAGGAAGGGAGAAAGAAACATTGATGTGAAAATGAAACATCAATCAGCTGCCCCTGGGCACCCTGACCGGGAATCAACCTGGCAACCCTTCGGTGAAAGGGATGACGCCCAACCAACTGAGCCACACTGGCCAGGGCAAGGCTATATCTTAATATTGAATGCATTCATAAAGAACACCTATTAAAAACACACACACACACACACAAAACACGTATTGGAGGCCACCAGTTTTAACTGCCTAAAGTTAAATTTAAGGAATACATTTTAAAGAGATAGAGATGGCATGTGAACAATTACAGAACTTATCATCAACAGGCAAATCATTATGTACTAACCAACACAACAGAATACAAAAAGCACAAATTTAGACAACCACAGAAAAACTGGACAGGAAAACAGTTAAATTCTTTGTTATCTTTCTGTGTCAGATGAAGTAGTTGAAAAATGAGTAAGGACACAATGTTGCTAGGAAGAAAGAATGAATACAAACAGAACTAGTTTTACCCCTTACGAAGAATATGCCAACTCATGGGCCCCAAGTTAAAAAATACTTTGATAGTGGACTTCAATGTCATTGATTTCCTCTGTGACCCTTCTGAGAAGGGGCTCCACTCCACTGAAATCTCTATCCGGAGAGGAAAAAGGACTGAGGCCAGGTCTCTGAGGTCCATCCTGGGGTGTCTGGAAGGAATTCACAAGCCTCCAGGGGACAGGTGCCCAATGGGATGCTAGCAGGAGAGAAGGGCGGAATGCAGAAGGTTCTACAGAGTTGCTGAGCAGGAGCAGGCTTCAGGTGGCTCCAAGGGAGGGGTGGTACATTTGGGACCTGTGGTGATTAAGGCCAGAGTCAGATGTAGTGATGGATATTCAGTCTCAGCTACTGGAGGACAGGCCTGGGTAGCAGGGAACAGGAGGAACTCTAAGGGAGTAACTTGTTTTAAAGTTGCCTGACAGATCAGAACCTCTATCATGGTTCTCTTTGTTTCTTTAAGTACAAGTTATATACACTAAAATGTACATATCTTGAGTGTCCAGCTAAGACTTGCCAATATATACGTCTGTGTAACCACAAGAGCAGTCAAGATATAGAATGTTTTTATCATCCCCAAGCAGGGTTCTTTTTAGTCCATCTTGCAGTGTTTCATCTAACAGCCTGTGGCCCCTTCCCTCAGTGGGTTATTTAGCTGCAGACTTTCAGTCATTCACACACACACAGAGAAAGGGGGAAAAGGGAAAGCCCCTCACTTTTATGTGTCCACGATGTGGAACCAAGTTTAATAGCATTGATTCTGGAGCCACGTTACCTGGGGTCAACGGGACCTCTGACCCTGGTCGCGGTGCAGTGGGGACAGTAAGAGGCCCTTCCCCGGGCCTTTCGCATATGGACGGCTCCTGTAGGTGTGGCTGTCACTGTGTCACTACTATTCCAGTTTCGAGATCCTGAGCACGGGGAGTGGTTTGGCTACCTAAACCGAGAGGGGACGGTTGCCCTCACCATCAAGGGGGGTCCTTTCAAAGGTGAGTGGGAGACAGGGTGGGGCCTTGAGGAGTTTGGGAATTTGGCTGAACCCGGCCCTCCCAACTCGCCTCTCCCCGCAGGCTGCTTCCACGTGCCGCGGTGCCTGGCCATGTGCGAGGAGATGCTGGGCGCTCTGCTGAGCCGCCTTGCCCCGGTCCCTGTCCACCGTGCCGGGTCCCCACCCGCTAACCCCGCCCGCGGAAGCGCGAAATAAAGCTGAGCCTGTGCCACTGCCCGCGTGCAC